CCAGGGTGTGCCGCATACATCCCAATTGCTCCACCACAATATCTTAAGTTGATTCTCGTTGGAAATTGAGAATTTGTGTTGGGTATGAATCCCGAGTGGAAAATTTGTTTGCGAAATTATTGTTTTGATGGATTACTTTTCCAACATTAAGGGGGAGAGGAAAAAAACAGCTCGACAAAGAGATGAGTTGGAATGAGTTATCATTATCTAGTTTTGATCCTCAAATTAAGAAACATGAACCTGAAGTTCATAAGATGAATTATCATTACCAACTATCAAATGTATTTACTGACCATACAAAGTGTCCAAGTCATATATACTAGCTGTGAATGCTCCAACTAAATTTGATATCCTTGTTGGATACTCTAATATAAAAAATGTGTCTAAAAGAGGCATGAAGCGTGATAGACCAATCGGTTCCAACGATAAACATCCTCGAGAAAAAAAGGAGCTGTGATTAGAATGGTCAACTCGAGGACATGAAAACTCAAGAAGAGTAACCAAGAATTAAGTATAATTTTAGTTCCAGAAGAACACATGTCTCTGAAAGTTGTGAAAGTGAAGAGATCTAAAAAACATATTAGACTACAATACTGGGACCGTAATGAAATCATTGTCGATGAAATTTGTTTGATGTACTTCAGTATTGAATATGATATGTACAAGTGAGGATCAAGAGTAACTCTATTGATGCATGCAAATGATAATGTTATTGGGCAATATAGAAAGAAATCACAAAACTTGCTCAAAGAGCATAAAATTTAAGGACCAGGAGTCCTTACACCTGAAAAAGGGTAAAACTAGCGGGATACAAACAAATTTTTATACTATTGGAAAGTATGAAATTGTAAGAGATATAGTAAAATGTTTTGCAATAGGTTTTATGAAGAGACCTATCATTGTTTAAGAAGAGTTATGCTCCCCTGTGGTGGATGCAACTACTTTTTCAAATCAATGTTTGAAAATTGTTGTGATAGCCTATTTGTTTGAATTCCCTAAAGATGTTATATATATTTGAAACTCCCAGAAGGATTAATTACTCCTAGAAGGATTAATTTACCTGAAGTAAACAAGTAAAGTTCTCGAGAACATATATCGATAGACTAAGAATATTCCCTGTATGGGTTGAGAAAATATAGACGAATTTGAAATACTCGTCTAAGTGAACACCTACAACAGTAGGGTGAATGGACCTTAAAAGGTAAAATCCGGATAGAGTCATTAGAGCATTTGCATTGTGCATATATAGTTGTGTTGTCTGTATGTGCTTCAAGGATTTTAAATTCTTGATTTATGAGTTGTGATTTACTTTAAAGTATGAGTAGTGTTTTATGAGTGTGCTTTGTCTAGTTCATATGTTTCTATGATGTGTGTTTTGTTAATATCTTTTGTGATATGAAAGAATTGCTTGCTTCAATTTGTTTTAGTCAAGTTTTTTTGAGGCGATCTCATATTATGTTGATGATATGTCTATTATTGGAGCTCCTGAAGACCTTCCTAAAGCAGTTGATTGTTTAGAGACATAAGCTAAATTGAAGGATTTAAGATCCTTTTTATGGGAAAGGAAGGTAATGTTGAAAAAGTGAAAAAGTAATTTTGCATGAACAAATTATGTTCATCAAATAACATTAGGATCCTAAGATCACTAGAAGTGACCAAAGATCCATTTAGGCATCAAGAAAGAAGTGAGACATTAGGTCCTGAAGTACTTTATGTTGATGTACTAGGTCCTGAAGTACCATATGTTGATGCATCAAAGCACCAATGCACATTGCTAGCCAAACACCATATAAACTATCATTTTGGTGTTGATAATATTAGCAAAATACAATGTTTCCCTCAATGGAACGTTGGAAATACTTTGTAACCTTCATGAACAATATATGTGATTGTTCTATTATGGTACTATCAAAGAGAGATTTGGTGAACTATATATCCAAATCATATATATTATTTGATCCTCATATTAGTTGATCAGAGATGAGCTATCTCTTACATATGGCGATGTGATTGTTTCATAGATATCCACAACAAACTATAGTAGGCAAGTCCTGAATGTATTTCGTTACACTTTGTCATTCACCATATCTAAAGGACTTGCGGTTGTAAACTATTTCTAAAGGAAATGATCCTGACGATCATGTATAAACAAAATCTAAAGATCATGCATAAGATTGACAATCTAGAAGATTGTTCACTAACTAACTCCCGACAACAATCTTTCTAAAAGTTGTTCGTGGAATTTGAGTTCAACGACTGAAAGATTTAAAATGATGTGGTCATGAGGGGGAGCATATACGCACTGCACTCTTTTTCCCTTCACCATGGTTTTTTCCACTGGGTTTTCCTGGTAAGGTTTTTAACGAGGCAGTATGAGATAGCGTAATGCAATCTAGTGGTCATCCAAGGGGGAGTATTATGTAAATATTTATATATGGATGACCATTGTCATTACCACATTGATGCTCACTTGGGAGTTACATGTAACCCCCATTCCTACATTTGATAGCTCCTTTTATGTTTCATTATCTCTCATTGATATAAGGATGTAATGGTTACCAAGATGTGCCTATAAATAAAGCACACCATTGTATCAAAAGAGATAGAATGAATAAGAAGAACTCTTCCCCTCTCTTCTCTTGTATCTTTCCCTCTCTAATCTTCTCTTGTAGTTGTTTATATTTTCCATTAGTTTCATAACATCACGTTCATTTTTGTGCGCCATAATTATTTTGTGACTTGTTCTCAATGTGGCACAAAGGACACATAGCAGAGTGCATGTTTGTAAAAAAAGAAGCAAAGTAGTGGGGTAATTAATATGCTATAAATGCTTTCACTTATTGCAAGGTTGAAACGATGATTAACTTTGCATAAATTTCTCCTATGTTCCATCATGGGAAAAACATAGTTACTAGACCCAAAGTTTGCATGGAGTCATATTATTGGGGTTAATTGCAAGGTTGATCACTGGGATTACAAAAAAGTTCATGTTTAGTCACTAAAAATATTTAATTCCGTTTGTGGTCACTAAATATAGTAAAACAGTGTAAGTTTGGTCACTCTCCGTTAGTTTCCGTTAGTCTCCGTTAACGGGGTCAACTTTTGCTGACGTGCTAACAGAAACGCCCAGTCACCCAATTTTTAACCGAAAAAATTAAAATCTGACCCGCCACATCATAAAAGCCTAACCCAACCCATGGGCCATGACTCGACCTTTCTTCCTTAACCACCAGACCTAAAAAACCCCACTTTACCATTCCAAATCTCCAACATCACCCTCGACCTCCGCCACTCCAAATCATTCTCTAGCAGCTCCAACCCCATTGTCGCCTCTTCCACCTCCACCACCAAGACCAAAATCTCCCACGCTACTGCTCATGCGAGGTTCGGCATTGGAACAACCTATAGCTCTTCCACCATGACAATGACGAAGGACCAAGCATCAAGTTGTACGCCAAGGCGAAAGTGAAGGCAAGGTCGTCGTCTCTGAGCTTGAGATGCTAGGAGGAGGAAAACGGGGAGATTGCTCAGCGATCTCAAATCCCTTTACCGGAGAAAGTAGGGAGGAAGCGAACCGTGGCAACCGCTGCATCCTCTCGTCCACCAGAGCCATCGAGGCATCGTAGTTGGGCTCGACGCCGCAACTCTACTTCTCTTATCATCACCAGCAGCCTGTATATCCACCCAATCGATCAAATTTCTTGTTTCCCCCAAGTTGAATTGATGAAAACCAGAGGTAGCAGATGAAATCCCCCGTCTGATCCCGCCTCAACGAAGGAGAAGGCTCTGAATACTATAACAACAAAGAAGAGTTGGGGAAAATGAAACCCTAGAAGCCTTTTAGGGTGTTTCTCATTCATACTTGGGTTTAAATAGACAAAAGCTTTGCACTACCAGACAACATGTGCAAGCTAGCATTTTGAGACTACAAAGATAAACAAACTAAAGTCTAAACACACATTGTCATTAAACTAAACTTGATGATGATGATTCCTCTAAACCTTGTCGATCCACTTTGACATTCATGGTCGCCGATTTGAGTCTTGATGATAACTTGAAATATCTCCTGATACTGAAGCTGCTCGAGTCGGTCTCGCCATGTCGAGAAGGGATGGCGGAGCTGTGCGGGGACTCCGTGTGCGTGGAGGCGGTGGATGGAGGTCTTGGTGACGAAGTGGACGGTGTACTGCCTGTTGAGGACCAGAAGGCGGTGGCTGCCATGGTCAGGAGCAACGGAGATATGAGTACGATGAGGAAGCCATTTCCTCCCTTCGATTTAGGGTTTCTCCTTGTCGAATGAAGTAGGGGGAATGGGTATCTTTTACATTTTAGGGTTTAATTTGAGTGGGTAGGTTCATGGGTCAGGTTTGGTTATAGGGTTGGGTTGGGCAAGATGATGTGGTGTGTCAGGATTCATAATTTTGTAGTTAAATTAAGCTGACTAAGCAATTTCATCTGCCACATCAGCACATAACGGTCATCATTAATGGAGACTTACGGAAACTAACGGAGAGTGACCAAACTTGGACTGTTTTACTATATTTAGTGATTACGAATGGAATTAAATATTTTTAGTGACCAAACATAAACGTTTTTGTAATCTCAGCGACCAACCTTGCAATTAACCCCATATTATTGTGTTTAAATTAACTCTTAATATATATTGGGGGTTATTACAATTCAAAATTAAGCAAGACATCTCGGATCTCAATTAGCAAAAACTCCATATGATATGATTAATAATTTCATTTCAATAATTCAAATTCTAAGGAGAGGTAATGTATTTTATTTTTATGTTGTCAACTCTCAAATGTGGATGATAATTAAGACTGTAATCGTGGGCATGTATCCTACTTGAACCAGCTCGATCAAATAGAAAAATAAACATTCTCGACTGGTTAAGGATTTTTTGGTTTATCCAGAAAGAACGGTTCGAGAATTTTTCTAAGACTTTATTTCCTTCTTATTTGTATTACATATGTAAATTATTTCCCCCCTTCTCAACATTTATAAGCACAAAAGCACTGTGAAGGAACTCCAGGAGCAGTAGAGATGTCACACTGTCCTTCTCCACCATATTTGTTCTTGCAGTCGTTCCAACATTGCTTCTGCCCGCGGCAGTCCCATACAATCGAGCAGTCTTTAGCTTCCACCGTCATCTTTGCTTCACCTTTTTTTCATTAGTATGCATATCAAATCAATTAATTGTACGTAAAAAAAATTTTGTATACGAATTCATATAACCAATTCAAAGCAAAGTTATGAAATTAATCGAGTGAGTAGAAAGAGAGGAACTAACAGAAAATCACGATGAACTTTACTTTACGTAATAATTTTTGGAACATATTTTACCTAAGGAGGCAAAGAACATAAGGGCTAGCAAGAAGTATATTGCGGAAGCCTTAGCCATGTCTCTTGAAATCTTAATAAAAGAAGAAGTAATCTTATATTTTAGTCTTTCAAATGTTTGATTGCCTTGGTATTGGAACTACTATTTATAAAAGAAGTTTTTTCTATGATAAAATGTCTCAATAATAATATTAACATAAATAGGAAAGGAAGAAAAATGGAATAAGGTAACATTATCAACGTGGATATGAGAAAATATAGAGATTCAAACAAGAAATAAGGTAAGAGCTTGATGGAAATAAAAATATTAACATAAAAAGGAAAGGAAGAAAAATGGAATAAGGTAACATTATCAACGTGGATATGAGAAAATATAGAGATTCTTTTTTTTTTTACGGGAATCTGTTATCGGATTATATTACTCTGGCGGCACAGTTACATTGTCTAGCTGGAGCTGATTAATAAGAAAACTCGGGGGAATATCAAGCCAAACAACCCGACCCTCTCCAATGCCTTCTGCATGGGCCATCACGTGTGCAGCGCCATTCGCCTCCCTTGGGATGTGCATCCATCGGCCATCTCCTGTTTGCTTTAAGGCTCGTCGAATACTTCTACACAAGATCCCTATTTCATTTCTCACTACTTCTGGGTTTCCAATCTTATGTATAAGTGACTGGCAATCTGACTCTAGCTTTGCATTTGGGACCTGGAATTGGCATGCTAGTTGAGCCCCCAGCTCCGACGCCCTTGCTTCAGCATCTTCAATCGCCCATACCCCTTTTAGTCTCTTAGCAGCTGCCAACAGGAACTTCCCTTCTGAGTCCCTAATCACCACGCCTAAGCTAGCTCCCTCGTCCCCCCAAACTGCTGCGTCTGTACAAACAGACATCGTCCCTGGCCTCGGTTTGCACCATTTTTTGCAGCTCGAGACAGTGCATGGCTCAGTCTTGTGCTGCTGGTTTTGTTTATATTCTTCCCATAGGATCCGCGCGCGTGTTGGTATCTCCTCCTCGGGTAGTTTAGCTCCATTGAACAGGTGAGCGTTTCTTTCCTTCCAGAGATACCAAAGCAAAACACACCAACCCTCCACTTCTTGTTCCTCCCGTTGCTCCAAGATCATTGTGACCCATTCCAAGAAAGATTGCGTCCCCTTCATCTGATAAAAGTCAGCAAAGCCCGCCTTCCTCCATATACGTGAAGTCCACTCGCATTCAGTAAAAAAGTGCATCTGTGATTCCTGCTGTCCGCAAAAGGCGCAGCTGTCTCCCCTTCGAGGGTTCCTATGATTGACCCACACTCCCGCCGGCAGGATCTCCCGTGAGAACCTCCACATGAAATGCCTAATCTTCGGGGGGATCTCCAGCAGCCAGAGCCTCTTCCACATTGGAGCCGACCCCTGTGCCATGACCTCATTCCGAGTAAGAAACTCCTTCAACCAAAATTTATACCCCTCCTTCACAGTATAAACTCCCAGCTTGCTATCATGCCAAATTTGCTCATCCTTTTCTCCATTTCCCCGTAGTGGGATCTGACGGATTGCCTGGATCACATCATCTGGGAAGCAGCTCGCCAAAATCGTTTCATCCCACAGCTCCGTATCTGGATCGATGAGCTCCCGAACGCACGCATCAACTGGAAGCCCTTGCGGTGCTGATGGGACGTACTGATTTGGTAGTCCCGGGACCCAACGGTCTCCCCAAATCCTAGTCTCCAACCCACTTCCAATTCTCCATCGCAAACCCCGATTTAGTAACTCCTGTGCACTAAGGAGGCTTCTCCAAACAAAGCTCGGTCGATAGCCAACATTTGCATCAAGGATCGTCGTCCGCCTATGGTACTTCGCCTTAAGAACCCTTGCGATGAGGGAATCTGGCCGCTTGAGAAGATTCCAGAGTTGCTTCGCAAGGAGCGCTTCATTGAAGCCTCTTAAATCTCGAAATCCCATCCCTCCGTTTTCCTTAGGATTCACCAACTCTTCCCTGCGTAAACCATGTGTTCTCCTCTCCTCCGCTCTCTGTCCCCACCAGAAGTTCATGATCATACTATGGACTTTATCAATAATACCGTCCGGCACCTTAAACACTGACATCGCGTAGGTGAGTTGCGCTTGCGCCACAGACTTTATTAAAACCTCCCTCGCTGCCACCGAGAGTGTTTTTTCTTTCCAACCATTCAGCTTTTCCCTGATCCTGTCTTTAATACCCTCGAACAACTGTTTTTTCGATCTGCCCGCCTCAGTCGCAAGGCCGAGATACTTATCATGCTTTTCTACGATCTGCATACCAAGGACCCCACCAGTCTCCAGCCGTTTATGAGGCAGAACATTTGAGCTATAGGAAACTTCAGATTTCTCAAAACTGACCATCTGCCCGGATTCTCGTTCATAGTCATTCAGGATCTTCTTCAACTCTTTGCTCTCTTCGACAGTAGCTCTAGTAAAGAAAATGCAGTCATCTGCAAAAAATAAATGGGAGATGACTGGCGAACCTTGAGCAGGCTGGATGCCATGAATGCGTCTTTCCCTCACCGCTTTTGCCGTATACGATGACAAACCTTCTGCACAGAGAAGGAATAGGTACGGGGATAGCGGATCCCCCTGTCGGATGCCCCTGCTCGGGTGAAATCTCTGGGATTGGTGGCCATTAACTAGGACTGTAAACGAAACTGTACTGACACACATCATAATCGTCTTCACCCACCGCTCCTCGAACCCCATTCTTCGCATCACTCCAGCCAAGAACCGCCATTCCACCCGGTCATAGGCTTTCGCCATATCAGTCTTTGCGGCCAAAAATCCCGTACCCTTCTTCCCTTTATTCTTTATTGTATGAAAGCATTCGAACGCCGTCATCACATTATCGGTAATAAGCCTTCCCGGGACGAAAGCACTCTGTTCTGCGGATATAACTCTATCCAGCACCACCTTCAGCCTATTAGCAAGTACCTTCGCCACCAGTTTATAGAGGACATTGCAGAGGCTTATAGGGCGGAAATCTTTCGGGCTCTGCGGTACTTTAATTTTAGGGATCAACGCCAGCAGCGTATGATTGAGCTCCGGTATCATCTCTCCGCTTTCAATGATACTCTTCACTGTGCTACAGGTCTCTTCGCCCACCACATCCCAATATGCTCGAAAGAAAGCCACCGATAGGCCGTCAGGGCCAGGGGCCTTCCTCCGACCCATTTGCTTTAGGGCTGCATAGACCTCCTCGTCGTCCACCGGTCGGAGCAACAGCTCATTATCCGCTGGCAGTATTGATTGCGGAATTGATTCCAACACAGGCTCCGTATCTGGTATCCCACCTGCCAAAAACAACTCACCAAAGTAGTTAAGGAAACAATCAAATAATTGCTCCGTCCCAACATACCATTGTCCCCCCGGTCCTCGAAGCTTTCGGATGGTATTCCTCCTCCTCCTTGCAGTGGCTTTTCTGTGGAAAAAGTTTGTATTTTGATCACCACCCTTTAGCCAGTCATCACGGGACCGCTGCTTCCAGTATAGTTCCTCATTATCCTCCAACTCTGCCATCTCCTCTTCAAGCTTCCATTTTTTCTCACGGACTACTTGTGTTTGAGGCATTCTCTCCAACTTCCGAATCGCCCTTTGAATCTTTGCCTTCTGCCTAGAGTAGTTTGGGAACGTCCTCAAGCTCCACTCGTCTAGCAAAGCTCGGCATTTGTTAATTTTTTCCATTGCGCCCACCGCACCTGATTCCTTCCATGCCTCCATCACAATTTTTACACTTTCTTCATGCTTCGTCCACAGCGGGTCGAAGCGGAAACTCCACCCCCATCGAGGCTCCTCGTCGTCGTCACCCAGGGTGTCACAAATTATCGGTCGGTGATCTGACCGTGTCTTATCAAGATTGCGCACCTTGCACTGCCTGAAGATGGATGACCATTGCTCTGAGGCCACAAATCTGTCCAGGCGTTCCTCAATGTACCCACCATTACGCCGTCTATTTTCCCAAGTGAAACAGTATCCCTGGAAACCCAGGTCTTTGAGATCGGCATCCGCAAGGCAGTCCCGGAATGCTTCTATGTCCCGCTCATCCCTTTCCTGCCCGCCACTTTTCTCTTCGCTACATAAAATCTCATTGAAGTCGCCCCCACATAACCATGGGCCACTCCATTGCCTTGATAGATCCCCAACTAACTTCCACGTGTTTTCCTTTTCATTCGACTCCGGCCAACCGTAAACACCGGTAAACCTCCATGTCTCTCTACCTGCCTCGTTGATCTTCGTATCGATACAGTGATTGGAAGAGAACATGACTTCGAGATCAACATCCTCACACCACCACACACTCAAGCCGCCCGCCTGACCTCCCCTGGAAGTGTCCGTTGGCCAACTATCACCATTCGTAAAACCCAACTCCTTCTGTGTTTCCGTATTTTCAATCTTTGTTTGTTTGGTCTCCATCAGGAAGACCACTTGTGGGGAATATCGTCGCAGAAGCGACTTCAAAGCTCGAACTGCCCGCTTACTCCCCAATCCACGGCAATTGTAGCTTAGTAGTCTCATCTATTACCTGAAGGGGATAGGCTCCCCGCGCCATTCTTCGTCAGCGACCCAGTGCCATGCATACGTAGTGATTTTTCACTACCCTGTCTCCCAACCTTACTCTCCTGTCTCACCACTTTATCATACCCAGGTTTGTCACCCTGGTTCTTCTTGCTTTGTGCACCAACATGTTCCGGGACCGTAGCCATGTGATGTGTGTCCTTCTTCTTCGAGGCTTCTTTTTCCTTTCCCTTACTCCCTACTTCGGGACGGGGCTGTTGCATGGTATTGTTGTTCAGCTCTTGC